GGTTTTGGCAATTGACCATAATATAGTTAAAAAAACCTAAACTGAAGAAATGGATAGATTCCCTATTTCAGCTTTTAATGCCTGAGATGTAAGACTTTGTCTGTGATCCAAAAATCAAAAGCAACTTAACTATCAAGAGCACTAAGAGATGCTGACCACCAGCAGTTTCCATTGTCTTCTTTTTATAGATAGTCAGCATGCAAGGAAAATGAATACAGAAACTGGGCAACTAAAATTCTGCCTGTAGGATCTTCATAATCAAATGTATAGTGACTACTGTGACTTGCAAGATCAATATCAGTAAGGTAAGTAGGATTTTTGGAAGCTATATTAATTTGGAGATCATTTTAGGGAACTTCAGCATGATTGCCATGTGTCAGATCCCAGGCTGACAACAGATTAAAGCAACGTGATGGGAAAAAATAGTTTAAGATGCACTGCTTGAGTTCCTGCTGAGCAGAGGAGCAGGCTTCATAGCACTTAATGGATTCTGATGACTGGGATTATATCAGCAAGAGCAAGACTGCATTTTTGGATAGAAATTTCAGAGGCAGAGTGAGGAAATTAGCAGTCAAAATACTTGAAAGGTGCATTACGCTAGCGCACATTTCAAAATGCCGATTGCCTGCTATTTTATGAAGAGACAAGTATGTTCCAGGGTTAATCAGATTTTGGCCATTACCAGTACCAAGTGTATTCCTTTTCTAATTTTGTGATAGAAAAGAAAATGCTTTCTCAATTCTTTTTAGCATGGTTTGCACCATATGGTCTACTAAGTGCAGCCAGCAACTACTTTTAAATGCTACAGTTCTTTCACTGAGGCATTATTATCCTTTGTATGATGAAAGTAATTTTATGTCTTCAGGAGATGCTTGTATTCTACAAAGCAGAAAGACCTCTCAAGACTTAGTTTCTAAAAATAGCTTACAGTCTTTCGAGAAGATGAAGGATGAATCTTTCAAGGGATGAGCTTGATTATTCTGTTTATTACTTTCTTATTTGCATTTCTGGATCTTGAGGATCCTGTAGTAGTAAGCACTGGAGAACGAGTTGGTTTTTTTTTTTAAACAGAGTCCTCACTTGAAGAATCGCCAAACTTACTTCACATACCTGTCATTCAACCTACAAAGCTGAAAACTGATCTGCAGCATTATCACAAGGCAATATGTACTTGGAGATTTTCAGGAATACACTGAACTTCTTTAAACCTCTTCCCTCAGGCAAAACGTCATGCTATTACAGAGGAAGAGGACAGTTTGTGTGGCTAATTCATAAATAGGTCGTTTTGACCTGGTTGTCAAGGATGATCTTTAACAAGGGAATGAGTTTTCTTTTGGAAGAACACTCCACAACCTTGTCTTTGCACCTAGACTTTGTTTCACATGTATTGTAAATGAATCAAAAAGGTATTTTGTTTAGGGCTCCTTTACTTCATGTTGTACAAAAAGAAGCAAATAATGAAAGAGAAGTTCTATTTAGAAAGTAAAATATATCACGATGGTTGCCCAGCTATACATTTTTATCCACTTAGCAATCTCAAAAATATTAACTTCAACTCTCTAAGAATTCATTAACAAATTATTATGTTGCAGATGTCTTTCCAGGAAAAAGGAAAACCTTCAGTCTGCAGTGTAATGTCTATTACACTTTTTTCTTTGATGTATGTTATTTACACAAGAGCCCCCTTTTTGTGACAGCTCACCTGCAAGGAAACTGAAGATCACATGGGAAACATTTTGTGAGAATCTGGCATAGAGGACCACAGACAGGATGCTATTAAGTAGTTACTCTGCCTTAACTACTTTTTTTTTGAGAGAGGGAGAGAAAGCGAGCGAGGTTTAAAGCTCTAATCTCATACACAAGCTTGTCAGAGCCCAAATCTATCTGTAATACTCTCCAAATCAGAATGAACTCAGAAGAATGACGTTCAATCTTTAAATCCTTCTCTGCAGAGCTATTTTTCAACTCTCAGGTTCATAAAATGCATCCCTGCTGTGGCTCCAGAGCTTTCTAACGTGTATCCTACCTATTATGTTTGACACAACCACATGTTAGAATTCAGTTGCATTTAGAACAAAAAGTTTTTCTTGCACGCTATCCTGTGTAGTGTGATAGAAACAACTCAACGTGACAGAACTCTACCACTGTCACTGGCGGAAAACCAATTATCTCCTCTCCTGGCCACTGTTACTCTTTTCACTTCCACCAATAATTCTAATTGTAATATTCTGGACACTTCTGAACAATTTTTTTTATCTTCTTATTTTGCTTTCTTCTCCATAGAGCGATGTAATAAGTAAGTGTTGCATAAATAATGTCAAGTAAGACATTTTTCATATCTTGAAACACTTCCTCAAATATATATATTCAGTCCCTTTCTACATTCATTCCTAACCAATGTAAAAAGGATATTCAAATCTCTTTGATACAATGATTATTGTCAACCATAATTCACCGGCTTTCCAAAAACTCCTGTGATGTGTCAGGCCATTTCTGTTTCATTTTTGCTAATCAATCCATCTAAGCTGGATTAGAACTGACATGTCTGCTCAACTATAGGTAAATACGATCAAAATATACAATCATGTTGATGATCTGAACTGGGAATTGTGTAATAAGCCACAGTTGTTTCTTAGATTTCCAACTGCATGCAGTTTATTACAGTAACTGCTCATGAACTAGCATAATTTTTACCAACAGGGACAGATTTCTGTTAATGACCTGAGGATATACATGTATCTCCAACCGAAACTGCAGGCTACGTTCACTCCTACAGCAATAAACTCTTCACTAAGACACTTTGATACATGTTCATGTAAATTCAGCAGAATAACATTTTGTAAACATTCCGGTATGAAAATAGAGCATTACAGTCAGGAAATTCTGCTAGTTTTACATGATTCTGGAAATCTTCATATTCCTCATTTTGGCATTAATTTTCTGCTTAAGTTTTCCAGGAAAAAATGTACTCTGGAATAACTTTATATTCTAATTATAGTTTGATGAAGGTGCATACTGAACTGACACTGAACCTGCACTGTCCTCCAGTGCTATGAATGATTTATTCTGCCAGTTCACATCCAATTTTAAATAAAAATATCTATCTTCTTTGCTAATGAACTGATACCAGATTTAAAAGCTCTGGAGGATTTGTTTCCTCAAGGGCATTTCCTGACTTCAAAACTCACATTTAAAAATCCTTAATAATAATGCTCTGATTTTCTAAGAATTTGGAGAAATCTTCTCATTCCGATGCGTCCTTCGCATCTTGGAAGAAGGATCTACATCTGTGTGGTTTAAGATACTGAGTTATTAAAGCTTATGTTCCAAAATCCTGTTGACTTAGACTGCATTCATTGCTTTTGTTTAACGCCCATCGAGGTCAATGGAAATATTCCCACCAATGAGTTTCAGTGCGTTTCAGGTGATGTCTTTTGAGACAAGGAAACCCAAGTCTCTAGAATCCCATGTGATGCTTACTTCTGACTTCTTCCTCTCAATGTTTAGATCAAGATGATCTTGAACTACAGAAAGTCCTAGGAATATTGTTTTTGGAAGAGTGATGAATGCTATTAACAGAACCAAAATAACTTGTTAATATTACACTTTCATTTTTCCTTTCATGAGGTCTTTGTTAGATAAAAGCCTGTTGATGAATCCAAAAGTAAAGAGACTGTGCAAAAGGCAAGGGAAACACAAGAACAAAAGTAAAAAGAAAAACTGAATCCACTGAGAGATCTCTAAGTGATCTGTGGCAGCAAATCACTGAAGTCTCCAGTACCATCCACTGGCTTTACTGCACTCTGTAACAGGCGACTAATTTCAGCTTGCATAGAACTTATCGCTTGCCCAGTCACCCTTCTAGAATGGGATGAAATGTACTGTATATCTCTGAATTACTAGGTCTTCAGAAATGTCTACCTACTCCCAGGTTAAACCTCAGAAGAATAAATATTTTCTTGTTTTATTAAACTACCGTATTCTTATTAAAAGCTAGTAAAAGAACAGTAAAAGAGGAACAAAACTCCACTCTTTGGCTTAATATAAACAGAAGAAATTTTCAACTGACAATTAACAAAACAACATACATGCTAGCAGAAATAACATAAGGAAATACCCGATTTCCTGGAAGAATATTTATGATCCAAAAACATTCTGTGACTTCACTGTAATTCAAAGCACTGTTTGTTGCAAAGATTTATTTACTTTTTTGTTCTTTGTTTACTCTGTATATTTTCTGTAAAAGTCTCACTATTATTTATTCCACAACCTTCAGTGAATTAGAAAATATACCCAATTTACTTAAATATCATTATTATTACATCCATTTGACCTGGTAAAATGCATGCAATAAACTATCCTGGGATATCTGCTTAAAGTTAAGGAGGAAATGTACTGTCTATTTTAAGGGCATTAATAGGGAAAACCACTTCTAACTCTAGACAGATACTAGTTTTTCCTCATTTTGCATTCTATATCAGTCCTAGGAAGTACTGACTAAATCTTAAGCAGCCAGAATTAAGGCAGCTCTGTAATCTTGGAACGAAATGAGAAAGTAATACAGTGAACAAATTCTACTGGGTGAAGCACACAACAGAAAAGTGGCCAAATCACCATATGAAAACAGTCCAATTGCAGGAGAAGGTTCTCACTGTGGGTAGGGTGAGTTCAGGTAATGGTAAGGGTTAGGGTTAGAAAAACAAAGGGGATAGCCCTTAGCAGCAGGCCTTTTCCTGCGTTTGTAGGTCTTCCACCATTCTGAAAGACACTGGACTCTGGACCCCTTACCTATACCACAGTCCTAACCCAATCCAAACAAAACCTCTACTCAGGATCCTTTTTCCACATTTGGAAAAAAACCCCACATGGTGACTACTGAGACACGCTACTCTCAGTTAGCAAGCAAGACGCTAAAGCCACAACATTTGATGGAAGAAAGGAAGTATTTATGCGTGTGTATACACGCAGACACGCACGCAAAGACACACACACTCACTCACAATCTACTTCCAAAATGGCACGGACAGACTTGGCAAGGTCTCTGGCTTCTGCTGCAAGAGCTGTTGTGACAGTAGGTCCAATCCTTCCCAACCGTGCAAGAAGTGCTTTAGTAGACAATGTTGTTCTTCTGTCACTAAGAGAACAAAAAATAGTAAGTCTTGATTTGTAAGATATGCTACTGGATTAATGATGATGCAAAATCGCTTGGGTAAATCTAAAAAATAATAATAAAAACAATTAAAACCCACTGTTAAGGTTCCTTGCAATTTTAACTAATCCTTAGCACATTATCATTAATTTATGGAAACATCCAGACAACCGTAGCTATGTAATTACTAATTGTTTTAATTTAAGGTTTTTAATGAAGCTGTATCCTGAAAGCCTAATTTATAATTCATGCCATTCCCTCTCTTCCAATAAAATGACACTCAGAAACATACAGCAAAAAATGTAGGAAAAATAGCTACAAGACAGTTTTTGGAGACTTTGAAACAATAGTAGAGTTTTTCAGTATTAATATTGCCATTTCGAAATTAATAACTATGCCATTTCATTACCTTAAAACTGTCGAGGAAGTAGAGTTATCTGAAAGTACTTCATGCACGACCTGTTGGCCATTGTCAAGAAGTTAACAGTTTATAAATCGACACAGTCAAAAAGTTAATACCTTATAATTTGATGTTCTATTTGGGTGTGGGGTATTTGATTTGTAATTAAAGAGTCTAGTCTCTCCCAGCTAGAAGTGTAAAAGTAAAAAACGAAATATTATAACCCCTTTAAATGAAATAAATATAAACAACATCACTTTTTTTGTTTCATAACATTTCAAAATATTATCAAATATGACTTTTTTTGCCTTTTTCCTCTGGGGAATTTAATGGAAATTGATACGAGTTTGTGAAAAATTAGATGAAAAAAATTATCTGATCAGTTTCATTTGTTTAGTGTACAGCAAAACATAAAGATTAAGTAAATTCCTACATGGATCTGTACACTTATACACCATCTTTATTTCTAGCAATGAAAGGATCTCTGCAAACTAGTTCATAGTCAGTTTACTATGTTTATTCCTCAGAAACATCAACACAAAACTTCTCCAAATAAAATATTGCTAGAAATGAAAGGCAAAGTTACCTCTACAAATTGTAGCAATTTTTCAGTAGCCACCTCAAAGGTCTTCCTAGCTGATTCTGATTTCCGCAGCTGGCAGTCAAGCACTGTAACTCTCTTTCTCAAGTCTTGGATGTTATCCTGGGAAAAATATTTTAAGGCTTTTATTCTAATCATTTTCTCCCATGGCTCACATAGGTACATGGTGTGAATCGAAATGGATGCCTGAAATGTTTAACATGCGCTCTTTTCTACATTTCTGAAAAACACAGCTGCTCCTGAGGCAGGTATGCCTGATCTGCTAGTAAATCAGTTCCCAAACTGCAACAGATTTTGGCAAATGACATAAAGGTAAATTGAAATTGGCAGCTAACAACAGTGATAGGGCTGAAACTTAAGACAGTTTGAACTGATTCATGAATGGATCAAAAATACCAACCTGATGGTGACAGTATCTGTCAGCAGGGTGGCATAAACAGCCAGTATGTGAATAAACTCCGTCCACTAGTTTGCATCTGTACATCCTTTGGCCAACTGAGTAATTATGGCATATCTTGGAGAAAATTACCCCCTGGGATTTCTCTACATGCACTTGTATAACCTATCGATCAGTGTTATGCATCCCTCTGTACTTCAGCTACAGAGAATGTGAGCCCCATTAGATCGAGTTCTGGAGGCTCAAGGTTTCAGCTTGAGTCCCTGGCACTGTTCATGTGAGAGGACCACGAGTAAAGTCTTCACATGTATATGGGCATGTTTGTTTAGCTAAGCTGTCTGCTGAACAGAAGACCTAAAACAAAATACTCTCCAAAATTAAGACAATATCACTATCATTAAAAATAAACTTCTACATCACTGTAGGTGATCTTTTCTGAAAGCCCACTACCTACTATAAAACTCTCATAAAAAAACCACCAAAACCACTTATTATCTTTACTTGAAGCAAACGAGTACACAAATTCATTTGTATATGCTGTACAAAGCAGCAGAGTCATGATCACTCTGAACGTCAAAGAATCTGTTAATTATAACACTTTTCTTTGGTAGTCTCACTGTCCACTATTGGAGAAGGAGCTGGTAAGCTCTCAGAGGGACCTCATTCTTTTATACTAAAAAGAGTATACTACAGAGTTGGTACCTACTTGATACTGCTTCTTTAGAATAATAAATGCAGAGAATCAAATCTCAACTCAGATACTCGAGTGCTCACTCAGAATTTCAGGAATTCAAGCTAGCATCTCAGAAACAAATCTCTAAGAAAGCAACCCACACGCTCTGAATTTCTTAAAATTTTGGTATTTATTCAAGTCCTAGAAAACAAACAGTGCTTCAAAAATACCTGACATGAAAGATAGGGCATCTCACCCAGATGTTCAGAAAGAAGTTCTAGGGTGTGATTCATCTCACCACACACACAACTGGATGAGAGGAATTCCTCCCTGGGAGCTACATGTACTTGCTATGTTGCTTCTTTGCAAGCTTGTATACGATAGAGCTTGGTTTTACCTTTTAATACCTTATAATATTGAATTAATTCTCATGATGAAATAAGGCAACATTTCAGTAGGTTTTCTTCATCAATTCATATGCACATCCATTTTTCATGAGAAAAACAAGGTAAACACACAAATGTCAACCTGCTTGCACTTGTTCAAACTGCGTGTAGAAAATGGATCTGCAATTACGGGGAAAAATTTAAAAGTGCCTCAAATATTTTATTCCTTCGCATGTTTTGAAATGCCTCACTGGAGATGAAGTGGTTTTAAAATATGAGGCTTAATTGAAAAAAAAAAGTTTTTTTGGCAGGATACTGTTAGTAGCATTTAAATTATTATCTTGATTAAATCTAAATTTACTGAAGAACGCTACTGGACTTTATATTGTTATTATTTGCCTAACAGAAACATAAATATGAAAGCCATTTTTACATAAATGCAAAAGCATACAAATATACGTATAGTCCTTAAAGACAATACATCTGCAGTCCAGAAACTATTCCATGCTTTAATGCTTGAGATGTGCCATTTTGACCTATGACCCACATATGCTTCCAGCTCCTATTTTTCCAGCCCAAAGATATCTGGGTAAAGGAAGACTCATACACTTCACATTACCCCCTTCACTACGCATCATTCCAGTTATTGAATAATACAAGACAAACAGTGACCTACTTTAGAAAAGCAGATGAAAAGAAAATGAAAACAAGACACATGACAACAGCAAGGAAACCATGGTAACTACGACAGGCAATGGCTTTGCTTACTTTATTTTGGCCAGAATGATCAGTGAGCTGAGCCTTCAGCTCTACAATTTCAGCTTCTAATAGGCGAATTACTTCTTCATAGTCCATTTCCATTCCACGAGCCTGCTTTTGTGCAGCTTCTGCAAGATGAATCCTACTTCGCAGAGCTCTTGTCTCTTCTACAGCTGCCTTGGCTTCCTACAGATGATAGGATTTAATCGAAAAGTTACAACTCTGGCTAACAAAGAAGCGCAGATTTAGCTCAAAAGTACCGCAGCTGGCATTAGGGCTACCTTTTAGTATTGATGGTTAGATGGTTCAATTGTTAATTTTTAAGTGTATGATGTTCAAACAAAGAACACGTATTTACAGAGAGAGACAATTTTCCTAATAAATTAAATCACAAATTCTATTACTGTAAATCTAATTGAATGAAAGGTTTTATAGAAATACATCTGCCCCACTGCTTCCATACTAAAGAAGTACTTTAATGAGATGTTATTTCATTTTACTACTATTGCCTGAATTCACACAATTCAGAGTTCGCATATCATGTAGATGGACTTCTAATGCAAGTATTCAGTCCACACTGTTCTTGAAATAAGTGCTGGTTTTTATTTTTCTGCCTAGTTCCTGCTCTTACATTGTTATCCTGTATTATCACTGAAGAGTGTTATATAAAATTTATACATAAATAATGTATAGAAAACAGGAAATTAGACACTGTTAGCTTTTAATTCAGCCAAAGTAATCCCTAAATGTTGTAAAATCTGATTTAGAGAAGGATATTGCTCAGTTCATTTTACTACTGAATATTAATTCAAGTTAACTTTGATTTGTAAATTTTAAAAGTCAAACTAAAGGTCTGGACAACAGCTTACACTAGGAAAAAACAAACAAACTGCTCATCAAAAAATGTCGACATACAGGCTCACTGGCACCAAAAGTAGTAAGCCATCTTTCTTTCGCCTTAGCTTTTTATTAATCTGTGGAAAAATTCACTTTTTATGAATTTCCTGAATCATTAAAGTTATAAGCTTTAAATATACTAATTCACAGAGCTAGAAATTCTTTGTACAAATTCCTCAGCCAAGGATACTTAGGTGAATATCCTATTCCTAGTTTACCTATTGTGTTTTATTATTACAACTATATCCTGGTTGGGAATGGGACTAGAGGGGAAACAGCTAGGGGTAGAGAAGAAATGGACACTAAGAATCTACAATAAATAGGAAATAACATTCTAGAAACTAGACTTGAAATCACTGTTTCTGAAAAACCTAAATGACCAAGTCTTCCAATTTTTGTGGAAGAAATGTCATCTAATATTTAACAAGTGTCATAATAGAAATGTCTAGAGAGGCCAGTTAAGCTTACAAAGGCAGATTTAACTCTCTTATTTCCTAACTTAGAAGCATTTGTTCTGTGCAAGCAATATTCTTCAAGTCAGGTTTTCCTATACTTTGTCATGTTTTCTCTGTAAAATAATCTACTAATCTCAGTTTCAGATGACTTTTAACCTGTACACTGTTAGCCTTAATAAACAATATAAATTTATTTCAGGCTGTAAGTAAACTAATCTCAATGACATATATAGGACATAATCTTCCCCATATTTACAATGGTTTTGCAATATAACACCAATTTGGATGATTGCCAGGGACATTCTGGTCTCTTAGAAAATAAAGCATTAGAAGAAGTAATCACACATGTAGCAAACAGCAACATCATTAGTGAATACAGATGGCACTGGTGTTACATAGTTTAGAGGTTTCTGTTATAGGAACACAAGTGGTAAGATACATTTAAATAACCTTTAATTTGACAGCAAGTATAATTTTTTTTTTTTTTCCTTTTGGAAGCACACTAGATGAGCCTATTCTACATGATGATCATCTCCACCTGGAAACGCAGACTATTCAAAAGCTTATTGCTGCATGTCTTTCTGTTATTCGGCTAGTTCGTTTTACAGCTGTCTGTCTGCACTGCACTAAAAGCAGCGCAACGGGCCATTACTGAAAGCACTCACTGAAAGACCACCAGAACAATCCACCCCTCCTGCAAGCTGCTCACAGCAGTTCTTTTTCCTAGAAACAATTCAGAGAACACAGGGGCTTCTAAGAAGCTATGAATCTACATCAGTAGAGGTCAAACTTACTGCCTCTGAGGAGGGCATGTTCTTGCCACTGTAAGAAACAGTGTGACTCACCAGCAAGAAAAGCTGGTCCCTACTGATACAGAGGATGATTTGGTAGTCTTCAGCAGCAAAGGTATCCTTCAGTAATAGGCTGGAGGTGGGAAAAAGACTCTGGGAGACAAAAGTGAAAAGATGGTCTGGTATTAAGTTTGACTAATATAAATGAACACAGAGGCCTTGACAAAGGGTGGTATCTTAAAAATGCACACATAGGAATTATTTAAATAAACTGACATCAGAAAAGTCATGGGAAAATTGCTATAATGAAAAGGGAGGTCTTCATTTTGAAATAAGACCTCCTTGAGATAAAGGTTTAATCTCTTATAATCCAGAATTGCCTTTACTCCTCCATTGTTTTTTCAGAAACCCAATTGTTGAATATTAATTTCTCTGTAATAGCAGACTAAGTATGACCAGATTTCAACAGTGAAAGACCTAAAGGAATAATTAACTAACAATGGATTCTTACATTACAATGAAATGATTATCTACACTACAACTGAATTAACAAAAATTTTCTGACAAACCAGAGCTGTTTGCTAGAGCAGGGAGGCACAAAGGGAAACGATACCATCAGGTTTCCCCGTTCTACGGTTACTGAACTGGCACTGCCGGCGACATGGTGGGTTCTCCTACTTAGGCAGGTAAGGGGCCCCCACCAGTGAAGAACAGATGGATTACTACTGAAGCTGGCACTGCGGCGATGTGGTGGGTTCTCCTACTTAGGCAGGTAAGGGGCCCCCACCAGTGAAGAACAGATGGATTACAGCATGCTTCAGCAACATTTTCTCTTGTCCCATTCAACTGCTTGTATGAAAGAAGACACAACAGAAATGGAATCTGCAGCTGCTAATATTTCATCTATATAAATGCCTGATGGGACCATTTCTCCTAATCTGGTATGAAGCCTCTACAACAAGTAAGAAACTGTAGGCTGGAGGAGAGAAACTGAATCCTCACAGAATCAATTTCAAGGTACAGGTTTCTTTCAAAGCCAGGTTCTATTTCTTCCTTGGATAAATTCAAGTGTCAGGAGAAGGTTTTATCCGAGTAATATTCCAGCCACCACAAACGCTGGAACAAAGGTATTCTTCTAAACCACACAAAAAATTGTAGTTACAATTCAATTATATTTATTCATTAATTTTACAAAAATTGCATGCTGAAAACATCCTTTAAAAGAACGCTGAGTATCTTTACTATATATTAAAATAAAAAAGCTAGTGAAATAAAAATAAACCCAATACTTTTTTCAGGCAGGGTGAAATAAATTATATACTGCTTCCAAAGTAGCAGGCATTCAAGTCCTGGTTTTCAAAGCACCTTTTTTCCCCTTAGAAAACATAAGCATAGAATAGCAAATCTTAGCCCTACGAAATACAAGTCCAGCAGAATGGGATACCACAAACCGCATCCTATCTTTATGACCTTTCACATTTACTACGTTTAGCTGAGGTGCTTCAGCTGACAATAACGGCATAAAAAAAGCTCCAGTAAAGAAGAGATCATTCAGGTTGGTATGACCCAGGACTTTCAGGCAGCACAGAATAGAGTCAGGCTTGTCCAGGAAGATAGAAGACATCATTGCGGATTTCACATTCATGGTGTTGATGATTTCAGGTACTCAAAAGTGCCTTTCTATGTTTTGTGCCAATTTCAGCTTCCATATGATTTCAAAGAAGACCCAAAGATAGTGCTATATCACAATCTCAAAGTAAAAATATATCAATTAATATAGTTTAATTGTCATAGACCAATATTGGAAAATAATTACGACCTCATTTCAAATTTATCAGTATTTCTAATCTTCTGTTTATCCTGTTAGCTACTGATTCAAGCACTGTTTAATGAATTGGTACTAACAAAACATGTTCATTAACCAGAATATTTGTATGCCTGTCCTAATTAAGCTGCATTCTCTGCGCTTCACAATTAGTAGGCAATAGAAATACCACAAAAGATACTCCAATATATGACTGATAGCCTATATCCTCATTTAAAACCTTGTTTTTTCAGGAAAGCAGTGATTTTAAAAAAACATTTAAACTGTATTGAATTCAGAAGACCTTAAGCACATACTTAAGTTGGTTTGTTTGTTTACTTTTAATCAGGCCATTAGGGCTCAGTAACATACTCAATTAACTCATTTCACTAACTTCAGCTCAAGCAGGAATGCATTATCGTAAGTTAAATGGCAACTTGTACTGTAAGTAGCCTATTTTTTTTAAACTTCATATCACCATGAATCTCAGCGTCAACATTGGTTCTGAACTACAGAAATATATATAAAACACTTGAAAATGCACCAAGTATAAACAGAACTAGAATTTCCATTAAAAGTCCACTTGTATCTCCTAAAATAGGTCACACGGTGCTGTAATTACATATAATTTATTATTTCTCGTTCATTGCACTATATGGTACCTTTTCAATAGCAGTTACTTAAAACGCTTACTAGAAAATCAGAGTATTTATCCCCCGGAGGTTTGTCCTGCAAAGCTGACCTTCGCCATCACAGGACAGTACTTGAGAGAAAAATAAAAGTACGAGGACCTCGTGTGGTAAAAACGGGCATTGCTGCCACTTAAACCAGACCATCTTAAACCATCTTTGCCCAAGCCTACCTTCCCAATACGAGCAGGTATGTGAATTGAAACTCTCGATGCTGAGGACCTGATGTCCATACTGTTTGCATTTTGGGGTTTGTACTTTGTACTAGCTTTAGTCTAGACTGATAGACTGAACATCTGCTCTAGTCTAGAGCAACAGACCGAATGAATGGAAACATGAGGTGCACTACTGGAACATACTTCCAGTTAAATTTTATCCAAAAAAGAATGCAATCTATTTCCCTGCTGTCCCGCAGTGTACAGATGGCAACATCACAATATTAATGGAAAAAAGCTTTCAAGCAGTTCTCTCACATTCAAGGATAAAAGGTGATAATGAAGGTGCTGAACAAATCTGCATGTATGAGCAAAAACATAAAACTAATCTTAATATAACAGTACACGGAAAGATTTTTAAACCGTATCTTGCATTTTTACGTATGACATCTGATGGAACAGATATTCCTTGCAGGTTTCTCATGGCTATGTGTAGCAGTACAGGAGAGAAGAAAAGCGGCCAGCTCACAAGAAGAAAAGAGCTGACAGGATGATGTTCAGTAGAAGCAGGAAACAGGAAAATTACTTGGTTTTGCATCCAGGCTATAAAAGACGTGAGATTTACATATAATAGGAAATTTCCTTTAAGAGACACAAGAAGGCTAAATTTCATAAGAAACTCTTATTTCTCCTCTCATAATTATAGATAGATATGGAGACAGAAACAAGACATTCCTCACTAAACACTTACTACCATTTCTTTCCTGGTAAATACCAGGTAGAATTGTCAAGCGTGTCTGTTTTTACATAATTAAAACTCTGTTTGACATATAAAGTAGCTAATGTTAGGACTGTAGATTAGGCACACCGTTGCCCAAGAACAGCAAAATCAATTTAAGAACACTTAGGACCAGAAAGGTACTACTACATTATTATCCAACTTACCTGATCCAGTTTGTCTTATGGTTCCTACCTCAATTCAACAGCAGAGAAGTATTATTGCTCTAAAAACTTAAGGATCAATATTCTCCAATTCTAATCAAACACTTTGTAGTAACAAAAGAACCACTTTGTGTTGAAACCAGTGTGAAAGTATAGTCTACGTGAGCATCAAGAGAGAAAGAAGTGCTCCCTTCTCCCTTCCACAAAAAACAGTAAAAAAAAAAAAAGAGAACAGTTATATTTTTAAGAAACTTCAACATACTTGCTTGACTATTTGTAGCTCCTCTGTTAACATTTTCTGTAAATTCACAGATTCAGACAATTTTTCCTGTTAAAAAAAAGGAAAAAATAATTAATAATTAGCTCTGAAAGAGTTTTTATTCCTAAAACCCAATAAACTCTTTCCAAACTACAAGTAGCGATACTTAACTTCTATCAATGTACTTACTGCCTTCTGTACTACTATGTTTCTAGGCCACAACATATGTCTGTTAATAATGCTGTATAATCAGAAACACACATATTAAAAAAGTTCTGGTGGAAATAATAAATAATAAAAAGCTTTTATAAAACCTGTGACAAAACCAAATTTTAATCTCTAAAAGCTAGTTTTTCAGAGAGTTCATTGATACTGTTTAAGTTTCTTGAGCATCTGAGGATTATTTACTGAAGATTTCTGTGATATAAGTAAAATACACGTTTTAAGTCTCTTGTTACCTAGCCACCTAACAACTGAGCAGAATAAAGACATTTTTGTGGCTTTAACAGATTGCTGTCCAACCTAATATTCACGTCAAGTTATTTTCAACATTGTATGATTGCCCACTCCTTCACTTGCCTACTTATACCAGAAGCCCGTAGGTACACCACTTTCAGGAGGTTAAAAGTTCTAACAAGTTTAAATTAAAAAAAAAAAAAAAAAAAAGTGCTATAAAGGCATAAAGATTCTCATACTGAGTCAGACCAAGGGTATTTCTCACTCAGTATCAAGTATTTGACTGTGGATTGTTAAGGGAAGAATATAAGAAATGAAGCAATTATAGATGGATCATTGCCAGTTTTCAACATCAGCAATTTAGGGACTCATGATAAGTATTCACTTCTTCAGTGTTCAATGTAAATCGGGTTCTTTCATTTCACTACAAAGTTTTCAGAAGAAAAATCTTTGTGCACACAACAAAGAACAGATCTTTGTGCATGTCAACCCAATGTTTTCGTAATCTATAGCGAGAAAGAATTTTTTTGGACTAGGAGGCAATTTGTAGAATTGCCTGTATCCTGGGATCAATTTTCCAGTCCTGTCCAAGAACAAGAGTTAGGTACGCTGAATACAGAACCAGAATTTTTTACATTTTGGGTTGTCAAAAAAGAAATTCAGGAGCATAGGACTGTGGCTGTAACCCAGGGTATTAAGAAACAATAAATATATTTGTTGCTTTAGGTCTTATGTATTTTGTAATGTCTGTGAAAATATGTATTGAATTTGAAAACAGATTAATTTATCCTCCAGTTCTGACTTCTTTCAAAAGTATTAGCATATGCTGAGACACTGAGGTTACTAGGATCACACATTTCTAAGTAAAATTGCTATGGAAATCAGTCACTTCTCCAAATTCACTTTTGTGAAATGTCTGCTTAGTCTCATTTCTCTGTGAGTCACATTAAAAAAATGCGTTAGTATTCAGTATAACAAATAAAATTCACTGTCTCCAGAAATACACTGTAACCATACAATCTTCAAACATAATTCACAGTTTGCTCTGCCTTATTTATTCATCAAAAATTGCACATAAAATTAAAAAGAAAAACACTAAATTATTATTACACTCAAAAAGAAATTAGTCTCTTGAATAATTTAAAGCAAATAAAAATCCAGTATTACCTTTAATTTACTCATTTCTTTTAAAGCTTCATTTCTTTCTTTCTTAAGTCTTTCCATGTCATCCTCCAAAGAATCACGGGTTACAAACTGTGCGTATTTAAATATGTAAGGTTAGAATGTATTGCAAACTGTATCTTCCATAATCTTAAAAGGTCTTGTTAAGAAAATGAGAGGATAATCTTAATTTTAAAATAATTTAAATCTCTGAAAATACTAAAAATGTTTAAGAAAATTCTGACCAACTTATCTTCCAAAGGGACAATTATTTTTCCCGTTAAAAGGATTAATAAAAATATTTTTAAAAGTACCAAGAATACAACACTAATAGCCCCTGTTTTCTTCAATATTTTAAATAATACATAATTTTATTTTAGTATTCCTATGCTGCAAATGCTCTTTCTTAAAGTCTCCTCTGGAATAAAGTGATTTTCACTGTAGCAGTAGTTCAAATCACTGGGCCCCATAATTGTTTATCACTCACATAGGTAGTAGCAATATGTATTCCATTAAGAAACCTCAGTAAATCACTGTTGTCCATACTTATAACAAATCACAGCATAATTACGTGAATCGCTTTCTGCAAAGCAGGTTGCTTTAAAAAGCTTCACAGAAACTAGGTTATCTTAAAGAACACTATATATATCTATATATATATCTATATACACATATCTATAAAGATATGGAGCTGTTCTAAACATCTGCCCAAGATTTGCAGTAATCTTACATATAATAAGCTCTCCAATAATCTCCTCCCAGCAGTTAAACACTGCACAGGCACATATTTTACCTGTGAATCCAGTAAGCTGGCAATTTCATTGACCCCAAATGTTACAGATTTTTGGCCATCATCCGTTGCATTCAATTGCACAGAGAACAGGTTCCTGGAAACTTCAACGAAATCTAAAAAAGTTTAGATTTTGTTGCTGTAGTCCACAAGTTCCGTTTAGTAGCAGTATCACTAGATGCAACACAACTACTAACATCACAATATATGGCTACTCTTTTACAAATGCAGCGTCTGCCCTCCATAAGCTTTCGACAGGAAAATATGAAAATCAGACACATCTCTCTGAATAGAAACATTTGGTAAAGCTGGTAAGAATAAGAACAGAAATGTTCAAAACAGGTCTTGGGATGAAATATCCCTGAATCAATTGTGAAGGAGAAAAGAAAACAAAAGGTGGTATGAAGTTCACCTTCAAAGTACCTGGTTAGAGATGCTCTACATTTGGCAGACCCCTGTGGAAAATTAAAAAGAAATCTGCACACCTGTTATACACCTGCCCTTCCCAATGAATTGACCTTACTAGAGGAGACACGGTGTCTCTGCAGGAAAAAGGATAAATTTAATGCTAGCTCACAGCTCATAGCTTCCTTTGCAGGTCCTTTAAACCCCTGATAGAGACCTGGCAAAATTGACGTTGACCAAGTTGAAAGTTTTAAACACAAACACTACAGCATTCTCAATCAACATGGCTTGGATTACCCATTCATTTTGATTGTAGAAAAAAAAAAAATTCCGCTACAATATGACAGAAAAGTAGAAATATAAAGGTCAGTTTGTTTACACCACATAAAATCTGATGGAAGATCCAGTATCTTTCTTGATAAGGTACTTGAAAATCCAGTGTCTTTTTGGATGGTTAAGTACAAGAAATTATTTTTCACATACTAGTGCTTGATGCTGTTTTTCATAAACTTTAGGAAAAGTGAAATTTCCATCAGTTTTAGCATCAGAACTATCATATGTCTCACAGTTTATGAGAAATATTCTTAAATCGTTAGTGTCACCTACCAAAATTGCCATAACCAACAGAAGCATCTCATTCCTATCAGAATTAGGTTTAGCTAGAAGAAGAATCATGATGGTCTCCATGCAAATCTCTTTCTATATGCATTTGTTGAAGTGTTCTTGCTTCTCACAAACTAAACAACTTAAATAATCCATTCGCTTAGTTGCTTCAAGAAGTCTCTTTAACCATCAATACTCTCCCAGGTAATTTTTGGAGCAATTACAGTACCCTATTGTCAAGGCAAAAATTTAGGACTTTGTGAGCACAAAATCAAAACTTTCTCAAGGCTGCTCTGAATTAGATAAACTTGTGATTTGCTTTCCAATTACTTAGTTTCAGAATCCCAAGCTTATTTTTATACAGTAGAATAAGGTTCTTGCCTCAAAGTATCATTTTATTTGCAGTAGCAACCCAATACTGACAGAAAATATATTAATGGTTATTATCTATCACTTCTATAGTCCTACATTTCATTATTTTCCATGGTAATTAACAAATTATTACCTCCAAAAGACACTGTTCCTTTAGAATCTTTCTGAAGTTGCTGCCTTAGTTGCTGCTGCTGTTCATCTGTGGGCTGAATCCCAAGATAATTCAATGCCTGGAAGGAGAAAACTTATTTTGGAGGAAAAAAAAAAAGAAAGGACTAGGGATAATGGCTGCAGGGACACGGGAGAGTAATTAAAGAGCTATACTTCAAAGAGCCTTCGTATCACAGTACACTCTCACTGACAACACTTTTATTCCAGAGACACTCTGTGACTTTTCCTTCTAATTGAGAGATGTTCAGATATTATTTAACCTTGAATACAGATGAGTGTAATAAGCAAAACCCTTTGTCCTTAATAACTGCCTTAAAAATCCTGAGGGATGTTCAGATTCCCAGAAGAGTTAATCAGTAATTAGGTTAACAAAAACAGTAATTTGCCCAATATATAGAATGAAATATTGGCCTGCAACCTGAAAGAACTATTCATGTAAAAAATTTGGTGTATAATTTATACCTTAAAGTTTCTCAACCTAGAAATATGCTCCAGATGTTTTACATGCATCACGAAGGGGAAGAAAGGAAAACTAAAAAGATTGTAAGTATTTACCCTCTCCAGCTTCTCTGCTTTGAGACGAATAGTAGAGTTCCTTTCCTGCAGCTCATAATCATCATTCTGGCTGGGGGCAATAACTAAGAAGAAAAAAAATTAAAATTAAATAACGATACAGTTGTAACTATTGCTTTGAAAAATTTGTTCTGAAGCTCTGTTCATCGAATGGATGCCAGCTAAATACTGTAAGTATTTACCCTCTCCAGCTTCTCTGCTTTGAGACGAATAGTAGAGTTCCTTTCCTGCAGCTCATAATCATCATTCTGGCTGGGGGCAATAACTAAGAAGAAAAAAAATTAAAATTAAATAACGATACAGTTGTAACTATTGCTTTGAAAAATTTGTTCTGAAGCTCTGTTCATCGAATGGATGCCAGCTAAATACCAACTTGCCACAAATAAATGTTAATATTTAGATTGACTTTTTTTTTAAGGACATAATTGGAATAAACAAAAATTATGGGTATCAATCACTTAAACTATTTTTTCACATCAAAAAGTGGCAGGTAGCAAATTAGCAAAAAGAAACCAGGAATAGCTTTGAGCGATTCATCAAGCATATGGCTTATACTTGTGGTATTTTCTCTTCTCTCGGAGATACACAGTTACTCTGGAAACAGAAGGGGAAACACACTGGTGAATTCTGAGAAAGACCTTCAAGACACACGCTCAGCATAATCAACAGTTCCCAAAAGCATACCTAGTGATCTAGAAAACACTGTGGAAAGAGAGGGAATGATCTGTTGCCAACTAAGGGCTGTGTGGAGGTAGCTTAGACTGAATTCCAGCAGGCTCCTCAGTATTTTTTCCCGGGAGGAACTCTTTTCCAAGAACTACCATCCATTAAGCCATCATCCCCTCCAGTCCTTACAGTCAGAAATACAAGTTTGCATAATTTCAGCTAGTTGCATTAATAACTTATGGTGCATCTATTTTATTTCCAACATACACAAATGATTAAGCTAAGGAAAGGAAAAGAAGCTAGCAGTACTAAGCAGTCCATATGTAAGATTTCAGGGCAATTGCTTTTTTTTTTTTTGGTGCGCATGCTTAGTTTTAGTGGAACTCGAGAAATGCAGTCACAGCTTTGTCATGTTTCAGACACACCTGTGGATACAACACAAGAAGCAGCAACCTTTGGAAGCCTTTGATCACAGACAGTACGCAAAAGGAGCAGTTAACTATCGATTTCTTTGGATTTTAGATGTATGTAAATAGAACAAATTCATTGACTTGTTTTTCGCAGAAGAAAATGGAATACTTGTTTGTGTTCATTATTTATAAATATAATTTAGATCTTAATTCATTATTTCATTAATGGACTAGAGAGGTACTGAAACCAAAACCAGCATTTGAAAACTAAAGATCTTGCAGTTTGAGATTCTCTCTAAAGGAACAGAAGGAATCGCATAGAATTCTTTTTTTTTTTTTTTTAGTTTCACAGCGTATCTGTTTCCCAGCTCAAAGTAATTTACATTCTCTTTATATGCCAAAAGCATAAACCAAAACATCTTGAAAACCTCTGACACCAACACCTCTCACATGCTATATTAAATTCTGAAGACAGCGGGCTAGAACCTCAGCTGAATTGGCACACTTCCTTTCAACTCAGAATGAAAAAGCCTAGTGTATGAGTTTGTGCAAGAATTTCTCAAAATTATGCTGATTTTTCTTACAGCATTAAAAAAAAAAAATCTAAGAGCTACTTTAATTTTTCAAGGTTATCTTCGAAAGGCTGTCCTTGAAAAAGGGCAGCATGAGAGAAGTGGCAGCTTTGACTAAGGATGTGCTATTAAATAAGACTAAAATGAAAAATGACAAGAAACAGTACAAACTGGAGCTGCAAGTATTTCTGCTTTCCACTCTACTAGCTACGTTATTCAGATATGTTAAGAAACTGTGGCCTTCTTGGAATGAAGCTCCTGTGTATTGCATTATATTAACCAAGAGTCTTATATTCTGTAGATATTCAAAAATAGCCTTTTGTCTTGTTCCTCTGATTTAGTCGTGGTGTTTTTCATGATCAATATGAAAAAAACGTGTGATCATTAAACTCCAGGTGTATTCAATACTACAACCTTTCCAGTTTCAAAAGTTCACATTCAGTCAGCTCACCCTTCAAGGAAGGAAGCCAACCGGTCAGATTTGCAATATGGAGACTGTTTCATTTAAAATTAGGATATCTAATATGGGCCATAATAAATGCAGGTACAATTTAAATAACATCAGTGGAGCGACATCTAGAATGAATCAGATCCTGTATGTTTGTCCTTCCTCTCTCAGTATATTAGACGTCAAGTTGAGAAGCACAGGTCATGCTTACTTAACTACCGCCTGAAGAAAAAGAATATAGTTCAGGTCTTCATACAGAAATACAGAACAGAATCAGTTATATTGCTGTGTCAATTGAGACTCTCATGATTATGTCAGACTACTGCATTTTCACTGTTTGTAAATACAACACATATTTGTTTCCCAAAGGAATTACAATTGTTCAGTTCAGATTTGGTTCTGACCAAATTCTACAACCTCTATTTTTCCTTAGTGTTGTTTTCAAAATATGTATTTAGAGATATGATCAAAGTGACTGTTGTCTTTGTTTGAATGTCATGACTCTCAAATATAAATATACAGATATATATTCTAGTCTTATCAATTGAAAATTGAAAGAGGCCTGCATGTTATTTCTATCCTTCCAATATGCTGCCCTGATTTAAAACAAACAAAAAAAAAGCGCAAGCAGTATACATCCACAGAATTCCATCAAATCAAGAAAGCACCCTAATCTTGATCTGTATGCGAGCGTTCATTATCTGGTTTCTACTGAGTCTACTATCATTACTGCTGTATAGCAAATGTTGTGATCACTCATTTTTGTTTGGTTTCAGCTGTTTGTTAAAGACAATGTAAGTTACATTTGACAGAAGCTACTAGACAATCCATTGAACTCAGTCCTTTATTTAGTACTACAAAAACAGTGCAATATTCCTTTTTTTAAAGACTATCGAGTCTCACTATGTACTATTTTCTGTATGACAGTTATTGCAGAAAAAAAGGGTGGCAGGGAATTAAATCAGCATTTACCAGTGGCAGACACATCAGTAGGACTGCTGTCTAGAGAAGTAATTGGAGATTGCTCTTCCATCTTGACTCCAGTTTCCATCTATGAAAGAAAATCAAAAGTCATGAAATACCATTTCTAAAACAGATCACAAGCCAAACTAGAAATACACATTAATGTAGAAGAGAGGGAGAGGAAGGAAGACTGGGGGAGAAATAGTGCTGGATAGATCAAAACAACCCTAGGAGAAAATGGAAGGCATGGGGGGTGGTGGTGGTGAGAAGGAATGCCATTCAAAAATCTTAGATCAGGGCCTCATCAAAACCTTAGTTAGGTTTTGAGTATCTTCACAGATTAAGATAGCACAGCCCCTCTAGGCAACCTGTTTCAATGTTTGTCTCTCTAATAGGAAAGAAAAATGGACAAGAATTTTAAGTACAAACGTAAGATCAATTGAGAATCACCTGTTTTGACTTTGTGTTTGACATGGAACATTTTATTCTTCCTTGTTCAAAGATAATACTTTATTAAAATGCCATAAATTGAAAATGTTTTTTGAAAAACTGAAATAATAGAGTAGTTTTAAAATCTTCTTTCTTATGGTCAACATTACTTCTTTACACTAGTGGTGAGCTGTATGAATTAAAACAACAATTGTTGCTTAGCTGAAAGAAAGGGGGAAAAACCCACATTCTTCTAGGACTGATTTTTAAGCGAAAATCTCATCATCATGGAGGAAGTGTAACTTGTGAGATGGTACTGTACTCACACATATGTAGTAATCAGAGTACTTTATCTCTGAAATATATAACTATATATATCTGGTTCTGAAACTTTACTCCCTAGAGAAACAGTAAGAAGAACTTTGTATCTAAGAACACGGTTAATGCTTATTTTATTTGATTTGTTTTCTTACCACAAGTCAACTAATACTCTTGTTCCTCTCATCAGTGTGGTTTACTCTACTGTTACACGTCTTCTGGAAAAGTCTTGATATTCCAAAGAATTAATATTGTGCAGGAAAAAGAGCCAGTAATTTTTTTACTAGAATGGAAACTGAATTAAAATAACCCTACACTGAAATTCCAATAAAATTAGGAAAACCAACCATTTGCTCACTTTATACTAAGAGGAGTAATAAGTATACTCACAGCATTTGGAGTGAACATTGAAACAAGCTTCCCATTAGGAGATGCAAGAGGACTAAGTCCTGCAGCCTGTTGCTCTCCACATGCTACAGAAGGCGTTAAGAGACTGAAAGGACGTTGCAGATTCTCTGAATAACCAGGAATATTTTTTTGTCTAATAAAAGCTATCTCCCAAAAACTTTCAAACCTAAAATTAAAATTAAAAAAGTTTCAACATATTGTATACTATACTGTTCGTAAGGTTATACGCTACTCTTGCAAAAATTACATTTTCCTACACACTGTGTGTGATTTTGTTTGTTTGTTTTTCTAAAAGGATGTTCTATTCCCCATCATTAAAAAAGGCAAATAGTGTGGGTTTGGGTTTTTTTTTTTCCTTTTGAAAGGAATGAAAGTATCATAATTTTACAGGTCTAAAAGGTTCATTTTAGTCTTTTTCTACAAAATAATATTGCAATTGAATATTTCAAAAAAATTAATATCCCTTGCACTTCCTCTCAGTACACACGACATTTCACAATCTGACCATAAATACTGCATAATAAACCATTTTGGAGGGTTAGCTGTTTGACAGTAACAGATACCTCATCTTTGTTCTGTTGATTATACTTTTTGCCTCTTCATAGGAGACACCAATCATTGACTCTTTGTTTATGGATACAAGTTGATCTCCAGGCTTCAGTCGTCCATCCTAACATAACAAATAAAAAAACAAACCCACAAATTTTGTATTAATTGCTAACACTACAGAAAGCACTGTACAATCACAGCACTTTAACATATTCCTCTGGATCTGTTAAGACGAGAAATATCAAGAATGGCTATACATTTTGCCTGACAATCTTCCAGAAATAAACAGCAGATCAAACGATCATTTAATCACCGTGACAGCAGTCATTATAAAAGCTTCATGAGACAGAACAGATCTCAGATATTGTGTAAAGAAGAAATTTGGACCCAGATGCATATTTCTGTTAAAACCAACCAACCAACCAACCAACCACAGAAAGTAATTTTTCCAGCAAGGAGTACCAACCCATCTGACTACAGGAAGCTTCTTCACTAATTAATTCAGCTGTGAGCTGGATTAATTTGTATTTCAAACCCAAATGTTCTTGGCTATACATGGGACAGTTCAGGCACTTACTCGCCATATTAATCTTAATGAGAAAAGCAGATTAGCCGATTAGGAATTCACCAGTCAAAACCACGACAGAAATAACATTGCCAACTTTGTGCTTCTGTTTAATTCATTGCAAACTTTCTACCAGCACAGGATCATATCACATTTCTGTCTCAGGGACTGTAAGACAAGACTTTAAACATGCTAAGCTAGATTTCTCACTAAGATAAAGGTTTCTTTACTCACATTTTAAAAGAGGCCTCAACAATTTAACTGAAAATTCATGTAATTCACCTATGGTTACAGAGTTAGTCTAATGTAATACACATTAAATTACACATAACGTGTGTTCTTCAGCTCTTAAGAAATTAATCAATCTGACCATGTGAAACAAACTGTGTACAGAAGAAGATACATAGGAAAGAAGTAAAATACCTTTTCAAGACCAGTATAATTTTACATATTTAAAACCCACATACCATAATTTTAGCTGTGTTATTTCAAACCTATGATAGCACTTTACTACATTCTTTTGTCACTTAGTGTTTTGGTTTTGATTAAAGAAAATAGTTGTAGATCTTTTATTTCGCTTGCATCCTGCCTATGAAAAGATACCAATTTCAATGCTGCCCTCACGTGGCAGAGATTTAAAATATGCTTGCTATGTAGGTTTCTCAAACAGGACAACCAAGATTGGGTAATTGCCTCTAATATTGCTACTATTAGAACCTACCGCAAATTAATGTCTCAGCCTTAGTCTATCGATTATGTATGACAGGCTTTAAATTATATGTTCACAATGAGAAAAATGTTTTAGAAGCCACAACAAAATAGGAGAAAACAAAAGAAGAATGATTACCATTTATCTACTAAAAAAGTCCTGGAGAAACATTGCATTTTTTCCTTCCTTCTTGGCCTTTTGGGATTAACCTTAATCTACAAAAATTCAGTCACAATATTTATAGACTGTTTTGGGGCAAAACTCATTGCTCGTGAAATTAACTCGTACCCTCTTGCTTGGCAAGAGGCAAAAACTGCAAAAACTGGTTATCTAGACATCAAAATAACCACAACAACTCAGGATACAAAAGGAGACACTTGGATAAACAGTCTTGTGTACTTGAACCAGACAGTTGTTATTTATTTGGTTTTTTAAAACTGACAAACCCTCCTGATTTACATATTGCATTTGTCATAAATGAAAACAGTAATCAGTACTGATTCATACATTTTATTAGTCTGCACGATCAGAATATTTTTTATTCTAATTTGCCTACACATTGCTTTCCAACTGCAAGGACGCATCTAAATTAAGTCCAAGGGAAAAATTATTTTTGAACGTCCAAGAAAAAAAAAAAGAGATGCAATCTGGAGCTCTGTCCCATCCGTGCTGATTTACCTTGCATCATGTAACCTCTTAAAGAAGTTGATTTCTTATTTTCTCATACATAAATTGGGGAATAAGATCCTTATTTACCTCAAATGAACTCATGAATAATTTTCATTACCATGTAACCATGCTATGGTGCAATGAGATAATTCTGTTGAAAGAGAAAGTAAGGAGAAACAAACAAATTTTGTATTTAAAATATAACTGTATATATAAAATACTGAAATAGGTACTAAATGAAGGCAAAAATACAGGTGACTGAAGGGGGAGAGAGGGAAAAAAGGTCTTTACCTTATGACAATCACCACCGGGGATGATTTCTTGAATATATACCAAAGGCCCTTCATTTCTGTTAATCCCTCCTACAATATTCAAACCTAGGCTTGTTCCTTTGCAAACAGAGATAATCTGAAATGCACTATCCCTACGAAGAGAAAGAAAAGAAAAATAGAATTACTTCACAGAACTAGATAATAAAGACTCAGGTGATATACTATCTTTATCTTATGGATTTCACAAATATGTATTACAGCAACAGAAATAGCGGACATTTAATCTCAATGTTCAAACATTACACTGCCTACTATGAAATCAGCAACTTGAGCTGTTACTTCTGGCAATTACAAAAAGAGTTGATATATTACTTTACAAGGCTAAAAGCTCCTCTCCACTATTTATATCCAAGGCTTATGGGAGTACCTAGGTATACATAAACCAGAAGCATTAATTCATTAGGAGTCACTGAGATCAAAAGTCAACCTGATTAATCTACTTCTACCATGTAAACACTAAATAAATGAGAAAAATAACTTATTAAAACTGAAAGTTTGCAATATCAATGCTATTATAAGGTATAGGATTTAAAAAAAAAAAAAAAAAAGTTGAACACTTAGTGCTCAACCCAAAATTTTCCTGACCAGCCAAATACAGCATTTTCTACAGCTCACACAAGAGAGTTACAGTCGGTTTTGGAAATTACTTTGCAAACTTTGGGGATGGTGCTGGGACAGAATTATTTCTACTGATGGTGGTGATATTATCCTTTGGATGCAACTGAGGACTCTGTGACCTTGAGGATGATCCAGAAGAAGGGCTGTCTATAGATTTTGCTTGAAGAAAAGAAATAATGAAAAAAAGAAATAAAACACACATTTGGGAAAAAGCACAAAATTTTAACTCATGAAAGTAAGTTCAATAGGACTATTGTCATGTTAGAAAACAGACTAACTACAAGCAATCAGGCAACCAAAAGAAAGCTTAAGTCTACACAGCTAAGAGTTGCGAGCCACCCAGGGTTCCTGGAATAATTCTTTAAAACATAGTAAGTGATGATTTTTTTCGAACTGGGTGCAAAAAAAAAAAAATCTCAACTGACTTTCCTAAAGAATAATCACTCATGCTATATAAAGGCATCCTAATTAGGCAACAATTCCACGAGGATTATAATTTATAGTATTCTAGCTCAAATTTTTCTTAGTACTTTGAAATTTTATGGTACGTTTCATCTACAAATACCAAATACGTTTCACATTATTCATTATTTAAAATTGCTGAAAGTAGGTGGTAGTATATTTATTTTAAGAGTTGGGGAAACTGACACACAAACCCCTCAAGTTACATGTTTAGACTACAAACTAAATGTTAAAGTCTAAGTAAATGTGTGTTTTGCCTGACTTTCAGTCACTTCCTCCAATATACCCTCGCCCCAAATGAAGAGAGTTTTAAGCGCAAGCTTCTACTCCACTGAAGTACGACTACTGTCCTACAGGATTGTGTCAGGCTAGGAGGCAATCTCTCACCAGCTAATAGTTGTGTTGGAGAACTTCCTGCAGAGTTGGTGTCACTGTGAGAGCCATACTTATCCATCAGGTCAAGGAATTCTTTCCTGTGGTAATAAAAAGATCCTCTTCGTCAGGATTTGGCATTAGTTTAAATGCACCCTTTGAAACCTGCTACTGTGTCTACTGAACAGTTACCCTTCCTCAAAGAAGGAAGCTCAACCTCAACTGAAAGAGGAAAGCCCTGTCAAACATTCCGAAGAGGCAAGAAAAAGATAATGTAATACAGAAGGATAAGGATGGAATAGCGATAGACTATGAATGAAATGGTCTGTTGGTAGAAAAGCTTAATTATTACCTCTCTTTATCCTCAATTTCAAAACTTTAAAAACTTGTAATTCAAGTCAACTACAGATAATAAGACAGTGGTATTACTTAGGTCCAGAACAAGTTATTTATATTAGAGGGAATCAGATAATATACCTATAGCATACTCGTATTTTTAAGGAACACTTTTAGTTCAACTATACTGAACAAGAACCCAGAAGAGACTGGCAAACAAAGCTGTGGCACCTCAAAAAAGAGGACAGAAGAAATATTTATTAATTATTCAAGAAAGAGTAAAAACAGATGCAAACTCTTAATTTCTATTTAGCTCTCAGAAATTTGCAGTCTATTTCATCTGAGGTATATATCACTACATATTAAATATTGTATGTGCTTGGGCTTTGCTTATCTTTTTCATTGTGAAATCTTTTTTAAAAAGCCACAAAAGATGAAATAAAGGGCAATTCTTGGTCAGGCGCACTGTTGAAAAAGAAAAAATGAAAGCAGAGTTCTTTGCAGAAACCAATCATATTGTAACAAACTGGCAAAAAAGCAGCAAAGATGTACATCCTGTATTACATAAAATAAAGAGAAAACAAAAAATCTTGATTAATCTAATACTGCTTGCAGCCTAATTTAAAAAAAAAGTTTATAATCTGAGCTATGATTACCTCAGTGATAACAGATTAAAAAAATATAAATAATCTAGAATGATGTAAGCCAGAAACATCACCAAATTAATATTATAGAATTAGAGAGAGAGAACATAAATTAACGGATTGCAGGGAACATAATTCCCAAGTAATTCCAGTGACTGCAGAGGGTTGTTGAAATCTGCTGGATACATTATTTTTTAAAAAATGACAAAATGTATTGAACTAATGCCAGACCCAGGGAACACACACAAACACAGTCGAGTGTGAATCAAATAATCTTTTGGCACAGGAACGTACAGTCACAAGAAATTCATTCACAGGTGTCTGAGTGAGGGACTGTATATAGCGGCAAATTCTGCACAGGCCATTGGGCATACCACCAGAATGGTAAAAGGACTGATGGATTTTAATTATTCAAGGCGTTTAGAGGAACTAGGTCAGTATGCTTTAGATAAAAGCAGATTAAGAGTGGACGTCTCACATATCTAGGCAGTCTGAAAAAAGGAGAGATCAGAGGCTACAGGGCGATTTAAATGTCTGTCAAATACAAAAAATAAAGGAGCAGAGAAAGGAAGCTTAAATCGGACAAAAGGCTAAAGGAATTTAGAGAAGATTCCTTTATGGAGAGATTACTCTGTAAGTGGAACATCCCAAGAAAGGCAAATAACAGCAGATACTCTTGCAATGATTATCAAATATAGTTACATAACAGCCATTTCCTCCGGAGATTTAAGTCAAAAGCGGATACAGACCTGGATCATAGCATTCCCGATGATTCTCTGCCAATATTGGTTTATACGCTTAACTTCAGACAGCAAGGTTAAAGCAATGTTTAACATAAATGTCCTTATAACGGATGTATTTTGGACTACCTGCTGCAGTGAACGGTTTAACCTACTTATCCAAACTAATTCAAAGCTCATTAAAGACTGAAAAGCAAACTTCTGAGGGGAAACAATAACTAAATCTGCCTTTTTTCAGAAGGCAAGACCAGCTTAAATCATTCAGTTCTGTGGTACTGTTGATCTAACGTAATCCTCATTTTTTATTATTTTAAAATGCGGGAAGTATTAAAAAAAATTATCACAGCAAATAGTTTTTAATGGTATTAGCTGGTAACATAACATTTCAATCCTCTTCATTAAACTGAAATTGGCCTGAGCTTGCTACTTTAATTGATGCAAATAGTCTCAGAATGAATTGGTATCAAATACTACATAGAAAAATGTGACATGTGGTGCAATTTTGTGATTAAAACTAATCTGAAAGAAAAATACACGCAAGCCTGCCCACCCAACCTTAGATACAGTGTTGGCTTTTTATTAGTTTTGAGGTTAAAACAATGTTTTATTTTTCTCTTACTTTGCTTCTTCATCTCTGGCAACTAGTAGCGACACGTGATTAGATGCTGATGCTGTTCGCAAGATGTCAACAGCCCTAGAAGGGGGGAAAAACAGCCAAATAAATATACCAGGGTGCTGTCAAGAAGTACACAGTGAGTAATGCTAAAAGAGCAGGAAAATGAACAAAGTCTTAACGTAGTTAATCATTTTGACTGCCAGATACAGAGAAAAAAGCCTGCCAGCAGCACAACCCAAATTAAGCACTGGAGAACTGAGCGAAAGACAGACTGTGGTGAGCCTGCGCCTGGTGACAGGAATAAACTGGGATTGCCCTCTTTCCCTTCCCTTTTGTCCCCATCCCTCCTTGGTCCATCCTACTGCCTTCCTGGACCTCCTTCAGGATTAACAGCCCACACCAGAGAAAAACTACCGCTCAGGTATGCTTCATTGCTCAGCATTTTCCTCAGCAATATACACTGTAATTTTTCCTTGAATTTTAAATCTACGTCTCCAACACTAAGCTGCATTGATCTCTGGTGATCCAGCTACAGAAACCATACAACATATTCTACAGATTTTTCTAAACAATTTCTCTGTCGTCGTCCCATTACAATGATACTTGTTAGCTGCATCATTTACATTCACTGGTATTGAACCAACAGATAGTTCTAAAAATATTTTAACAGCTTAATATGTTTTAATGCTATTTTCACATACATTCTATAATCTACATCATTAAGAAACTAGCTTATTCTGTCATTATAAAAGCATATAAAGTCCTGCCACTTTTCCACAATAGTTTTGCTGAATTAGATTTGTAGGATAAATGAATTGCCAGTTGAACTCCAAGGACCTCAGTGGAGTTGTGCTCTTTTAATCAGTGGTCGATAATGTCCAACCCCCCCCCTATAATATTCCAAGCTCTAATAAACATTTAGTAATCAGTACAAACATACCTTTCATTGGTTACTCCAATTAAGTTTTCTCCATTGACATCCAAAATTAGGTCACCAGTGAGCAAACGGCCTAGTAATGAAATCAACAGGAAAATGGTGAACGTATTATATCACTGTAATAAAACTGGGCTTTTTCTTTCAGTTTTACGTGATCTAATGCAATAAACAACCTTCTGACTTTTAGCAGATTAGGTTCTGATCCTAATTAAGCTAGACTATTGTCATAAGACTAATAACTATCAATCAGTCTTATTAACCACAGAATAACCACTGAAAATAAGCGTTACTTAGCTATTTGTATTATTTACACATAGCACAAATACTTGTGGGACTGGAATTTACACTTCATAGTTGTGGAATTAACTTTCAGTTGAATTTCGCTTTTAACAAACATGTAAGTTCACATATAAACCACATATAAATACATTGATGTTTTATACATTAATAAAGACTTCTACAAGATTTTTTAGAACCAATTCTATTTTTAACCTTCTGCAAATATCAAGTTTAGGAACTATCACTTTTGAAGTAGATTTAGATTATTTTAAATGATCATTCTGCACAAGACCAGATGGAGTCTCAAAAAACCTCATATAGAGACCTAGGACAGAAGTATGTTCTGTAACTTTATCACTGCAAACTCCTAGTATAATTTGTTCTTTCCACACTGAACATCTAAACCACCACTTACAATATTAAAAAAAAAAAAAAAGATCGGAACTCATTAAAACTGGTTCTGTAAAGGAAACACCACTCTTACGCCTTACGAATAAAGAGGTTCAGCATCTCAACACTTAAATTTAGCAGTGCTGAAAGATTGCCAATTGCTTGCACACCAGCCGTATCTAGATTTGAACACATTTTCAAGAACTGAGAATATTAAAATCTTTTCCCATAAAGGGTCCAAGCTTCATTTCTCTATCTTAAAACAAGTCACAACATCATGAATCCTGACTAAACCATGCTATTTTAAATATCCTTATCCACAAAGTAAAACAAAGAAGACTTCTTTTGACAGCTTTTTATATGCAGCATGTTTGTAAGAAAAAAATTAAAATTACTATCTACAGCAGCAACCCCTCCGGGTAGAATTCTTTTTATGAAAATCCCATAATCTTCTGCTGTTTGTGCCCGATAACCTCCAATAATTTTAACTCCTGCAGAACAAACAAAAGAAACAAGCAAGAAATTGGTTATTCCACCTACTGTGCTAAATGGATTTACAGTCAAATCCATAAAAGCCAGATAAATTAAACTTCTACTGATGACAGTGTGAACTGGAAAAGCTCGCCAGCTGCTTTTAGATTTGGTTTACTCTGAACCAATGGAAATGTGCAATCTGATTACCTAATCCATTTTGACAATCAGAAAAAGAAATGCGGTGGACAGCTCGATTGATTCCATGAGGGCCCATAATAGTCCTAAGGAATAAAATAAAAGTCATTAAATCTCTAATTACAGAAACGTATGTAGAGCTTGTTAATATAGAAGAAATTACAGTGACCATGTTTTTATCTCTAATACAAACCAAAACCAGTCTTCTATAACAGACAACTTTATATTGTTTGATACCTCTGTGCCACCCCTTCCCCCCAATGAAAAATCAATCTCCTCATAACAAATGTAAGACGGTAAGGTAAAATTAAGTATACGTAGAATTAAATAGAAACAAAATCCCACAACCTGGTCCAGCTTAGCATTTAGGCAAGAAAAACACATCATAATGTCTTAGATCAGGTAATGAATATTAAAACAAAACAACAGCTAAGAGAGTGTATACAAGAGTGTTTCCTAGGAAATCTAACATGTAACTTTGTGGTTATTTATGAACATGATCTTTTCCTTACAGTCCCTCATTTCTTCACTCAACATAGTTTTCTTTCTCTATTATAAAAAAGGCTTCTTTCCAAACTCTATTGCCTGCTCCCCTGTGTACCCTCCCACCCCTAGGCAAGATACCAGGGTGGCACCTGAAATTGTCTAAAGGCAGATGAGTATGTTGGAGGCAGTTGATAACGGTAAAGAATTAAGTAAGAATACAAAGTAAAATTAGAGTTTTGAAACCTAAATTTACAGTTCCATCGGAAACATGACCAGCATACTGCTCTGAGAATGCAAGCTGTTAAGAATTCCTATAGATCCAATTATCCTTTACCATTTATTATTTTCATTTAGGTGAATTATTATGAAAAAATCCAAGTTGTATCATAGCTCCTTTGTCCTCCCACTGTACCATTTTTGGAGAAGACTCACCAGATCCCTTCTAGAAAAAAGCAGAAGTACCACTTAGGTTTTTCTGCTCTGACCTACATATTGTTCTGTATTAGACAGTGGGTTGCATTTTCTAGAGCATGATGTTGAAGTGAAATGGAACAACGAGAATTCATTAGCAGGGGGGGAAAGAAGATCAAAGTGGAGGACACAGTGACCCAAATCCTCCCACGCAACCAAATCCAGCACACAGCCTGAACTCCATGCCTGAAACTGGGTACTTCTGCAAAAGCCAGAGTACATGTCATTGAAAGATGCCGTGCCAGAGGGAAGAGAGAAATCCAGGAGGTCCAAATGTTCCTAAATTCTAGCACCAGGCAAGAGATCCAGCTTCTAATGAACATCCCTAGTTCTTTTGGTATTGTGTAAGAAAACTGGATGATTTTTTTTTTTATCAAGGGATAAACACTTGCTCTGAAAAGCAACAATTTGTTCCACAACCTCAAATTCCCAAGTATTTGCAAAATTAGCCTTTGCTTTACAAAGGATGGCCATAAGAACAGACCTAGTAATTGATCTTTAGAAAAAACCAGGAAGCCTATGCTTCAAATATTGTATAATTTTCACTTTAGCATTTCTTGCAGTATTTTTTTCATAGGCTAAGAAGAAATGATGAAACCTAGTTAGCATATTTGGCCACTGACAAGACTGCACATGACCTTGCTACTACATGACAGAGCGTAAGGCACACTTCGTAAGGCTAAAAGTGAACCGAACTGCTTTTACTTAATCAGTCTGAAAGGAAGAATAAATCCTTAAGTCTGCTATTTCTCTAACAAAACTTTTTTGATAAACTACTTCTACACTACAACAGCAGAGTATTTTGCATTACTACCTAGTACTGTCACTTCAATTTTCCCACAAATTTAAATTTTTTTGAAACTGAAAGACAACATACTAGTCATGTTCTTTCATTCATCTTTGAAACCTCAGACAAGGTACACTGATCTTTAAAACAAGCAAACAAGTATTCTTTTTTTTTCTGTCTTGCCTTTTGCTACTACTGTTCTGTTTCTTGCTGTGCCATGCTCTCGGCAGTTTTTACATCGCAGTTTTTTATTAAAATAAAAAAGCAAGAACAAATGCTGTTTCAACCTCGCACAGAAGTTTACTTTCGTGAAGTCTTAAAAGATCAAATCTCGGATTTTAAGTCTAAAGTTTTCCAAAGGAAAACAGAATTCACCAGAAATGGTAGAACCTATTTATATATTGCTATATAAAATGATAACGAAATATGGTCAAATCTAGGCACAGAACACTTAATAGGAAAGGGTCTACATTTCCAGAAGTAACAGGCAATACTTTCAGAAGAGATCCTAACTAACATAAAATGGATTCTGACAAAGAGGATACAGACAATACACAAACTAATAATTCACAATGGAGAGGAATAAGGTATCTCTAAAACAGTGAAATTATCACGATGTTGCCATCTACAATCAGAAAGGACTGACACTTTGAACAGACACCCTTACAAGGCATTCACTTGTGTTTATGCTCTAAAGACCAAATCCCTCCAATACGTGAAGTTTAAAATTACTTCATCACATGCAAAGTAAAGACAAGGATCTTCAAATTCTCCGAATTCATTTAGCATATCACATCTTGCTGGCTTTGGGTGTTAGTTTTTCTCCCATATAACTTAGAGATGGATCTTCAAGTCAAGCTACTTGTCATAGTTCTACTAGAACATACAGGGCTTTCGCAGTCTCCCTATGTAAAGACTTGGATTTAGCGCCCATCCAACATTTATTTCATGTTACTGTTTTTTAATATTCATGAAATGTTAGAATACTTCCCCAAAACCATTAGAAATATGCTCAACAGTATAAATAAGGACAAAGGTTTCTAAACCAATTGGCAGAAGTAACAAAATAATTTCAACGTTCTTTGTAGAAAAAGATGCAAATTAAATAATCAGATGTCGCTGCTCATTCTTCGAGAAGTCATGCTAAAATACTCGTAAGCAAGCTTCTAGCACATGGAGAAGAAAAGATGAGACGCAATAGATGAAATAAACAAGCAAGACTCTACAAAATGTACACTAGAACTTTGTTACACAATAGACTCAGTGTGTATAATTTTGTGTTATTCGCAGGCAATTATTATTATTAATTATAATAATAATTATTATTATTATTTTGTGTTAATTGGCAGGCAATTAAAATGAAATCTTTGATACTTTTTTCTATTACTTTTTACCAGCATACACGAGGAAGTTCAACAGCTTTATGTTTTATATCTGCTAGAGACTTATCAGAACATACGACTCCGGATATTCTTCTGAACTGCATTCCTGAGGAATTATTAGTTATTTATGTCCACAAACAAATATTTATCTAGCTTTATCAATGGAAGAATAATACCCTTCCCTCACAAAATAGATATTACTTGACACTTAAACAAAAATCTACATGATAAACTCTGGCTGCTTATGAAAAGAAAAAAGAAGCTGAAAACGGCTACAGCTTTTAAATTATCTTTACTGTACTTTTCCCAATTACAGACTAGAAAAATGCCGTCAGAACCTAATGGTTAAGCATACCAGTATAAGAGAGAAAGACCATCAAAACGCTCTGGTTCATCTTCATCTCCTGGTGAGAGTAAGGACATTCTTCAGTACGGCAACAAAGACAATGACAAGGAACCAAAATACACTGGAGGTTTCCAATTCAGCCGGACAGAGGTTACGTGCAGGACAATTTCTGCTACTAACTAAAAAAAACCCAAACAGACAGAGCTCGAGACAAGTGTCTCTGCCTACTTAATCTTCTCTGAAACCCTCTGCGTCACATGGACTAATTCACCTATCGAGGTAACGGTTACTTTTTCTCTGTTTGAAATGGCAATTTATTGCAACTTTGAAGACTGAAAACGCAAAGGAGAGAAAATTTACTTGCATTTACTACAACTGTGATTATGCAATCTATATCTAGCAGCAGAAGCCAAGTGAAATAATTAAAATAAACTTACTTACTCATGTTCCTCCAATAATTTATTTACATGTTCCCTCCAAACAAGGTCAAAAGCAATAACTCATGACCTTTCTAAAGCAATCTTCCTAGCAGACTGGATTATGTACACTCACACACAAAAGGGAAAGCCAACAAAGCACACAGACTGAAAGCATCAATGAAACAAATGCCATTATGCTATTACTGTGCATTCTTAATCATAGTATTGACTTGTGTCATGCTTTAATTTGTTTAATTTTAGTCTTTCAATATACAATAGTCAAAAGTTAACACAGAACTTGGGTTATATATTTTCTCTAGAAATGGAAGCTGACACAGCAAATAAAAATGGTGAATTTGTATCATCACACTGAGAATAATCTACTTGAAAAAGTAAAAAATACACCACTATTTCCCGAGGTAAGACTCTCTTCTGATCCGAGGCTTGGTCTTGCAGAGATATGCATATTTTCAGAAGTTCTGAGCACCTGACATCAGTTTGGTTAACTACTATTTTCTTCCAGGTTGCATCAGAAGATGCACTCAGATGCACTCCTATTACTTCCCCTCTTTCTAAAAGATCTTAAAAAGACTATGGTTTAAAATGAAAACTAAATATTCTGTGTTCACCGAGGGCTTTGTTTAAGTAGAAAGGTGAATCCTCTCTAAAGCAGGGAGTAACCCTGTGATGAGACAGCATCTGTCAGCGTCTAGAGCTGCACAGCAGGACAGCCTGGCTATGCGAGGAATGCATGCGCTTCTCTCATGCACCTTTTTTTTTTTTTAAAGTTGTAGTGACTGCGGTTTCATTAGCGTGTAATTGTTCTGGGGAAAGGATCTTTGCGCTTACGGGCAACATGCTACGTAGCCTTCACATATACCGAGGTCAGTCCCTAGAGCCTGTGATCTACACACACAAGAGGGGCAGAAGGGTGAAGTGACCCACCACAGACTAAGGAGCGGATCAGTGATGAAAGTGGGACCATAAAGCAGCCTTCCCAGCTCCCAAAATGTGAAGAGCTCCACTGGCATCATTTGGGTTGCTCACATCCATTCAGCGATGAAAATTTGGCCCCTTGTAGTCTTTTCTCAGTCAGTTTCTGCTGGCGTTACTGGCGTTACAATCCGATGGAAGAAAAGCCACTGGTATTTTAAGCATCATATCAATTAGATTTGCTCCAGGCAAGGTTACAGAAGATAAAATACCAATAGCCTTTCTCCAACAAAATTGTCACTGTTCTTAACACCAGTGGAATTCAATTTGTGGTATCGGTATCAGGAACATTTGTCAAAACAAATCACTCAGACCAATATGGCTTGTATCCGGTGTCATGTTTTCTGCAACAGAAACACGCACCCACCCCACACCCCCCCAGTTAAAAGTGTGACTCAAGGCTACGCATTTCCGTTATTAAAAAGCAAAAATGATTTTTATTAAACCAGGCACGACAAACTTCCCAACAATTTAAGCAGATATAAAGTAGTATTAAGTTTCTTATTGCTCCCACCTCTTTTTATTAGTTACTATCGGTAATACATCACTTGATCAAACAACTGCTCCCCCATCCCTTCTTCAAAGTAAACTATGCGTTGTTCAGCTTCCTGAACTCATCCCCAAGGCTTCTATCCCTCTTTAATTAAAATTCTGCTGCTGCGCTGCTTTTAATGTTTCTAAAGGACTCGTACAGAAAAATGGTATTATTGCTTCTTTTGCAAGTTCCTTGCCTTTCAAGAACATACTCAGGGGAACACAAATTACTTTTTACTTCCAGAAAGATCTAGGAGCACTGTAACAATTTAAAACCCCATAAAACCTAATATCAATAAGTAAGACTAAATTTCCAAGAGACATCATTTGTTATTTTATGCAGCAAACAAAGATTCTTTTTCAAACAGCTAGTAAACTATTCCATTCTGGCAACATTATTAATGATGACTCGCCTTTCCCAAAGGAAGTTTTGTAATGCTTTAGCAACTGAGATGGACTACAGGATAATTTAGCAGATGACAAAAAGATGTGCAGAATCTTCGGAAGCAAGATTCACAAGATCTTTTTGTTATAAATAAAACAAAGGTCTTTTACAAAAATCCTATACAAGTCAATTATGCAACTGTAGCCTTTCAGGCTCACTAACCCTAAAAGGTAAAAATTTATTATGACACTAAGGACCACAGCCAAGAGAACGCTCTACCATATAGGATGAACAAACACTTACTTCTGAGCTATCCAAACCCACTACTTATTCAAAATACATTTTGCTGATTAGGTCGTACAGAGTAAAAGAAAACATATGTCATTATATGGCTACTGTTAAACATGAAAAAAAAGCTTGAGCAATGTTGTAATTGTGGAGAAGCATGAATGGTTTGAGGCTAAACCCCTTGCGTAGAAAAGAAGGGCATTATTTAAAGTTTAGGTAAACCTCAATTAACATATAACCAAGTACATTCTTGAAGCGTTGTGCATTGATACTGTCTCCCACAACAAAAAAAAAAAAAAAAAAAAAAAGTATAGAAAATTATAGTCTTCCATCATCATGTAGCTGAGTGCAGTTATATGCACCTTTCATGTTCACCTCCTACGTGAAAAATTGCCTTCGGAATACAGTGATCCAGTAACTGTCCATCTAACATAACTTCCACATGAAACTAGCAAGCCATAGCTGTTTTAAAGATGTATCTTTGTATTACATACCCTGTATTTCCATCGGACAAGCAGAGCGTTCGCTTCTTCAGATCCCAGTAAAAAGCAAGTTAATTTTTTTAATGTTTTGTGGATTTGCTTTTAAAAAAAAATCAAGTTACTTATGAAGTGGCATAATTCAAAAACTATGCTAAATTGTTTGACAACACTTTTGAACACTATTTGCTCGATTCTATTGCACAAGCACAGCAAACACGATGGCCCAGCAAGAGCTGTCTGTGCCTGTTTTTAATTATGGTTTTGATGACAGTGTTGGCATGGTTACTTAGCAGTTTGGGAAGGGTCTGGAGTTACGATTTTCAATCATGACTGAATCCAAGTTTGCCATTTAGCATCTGATCCAACTTTTAAGTGGATAACATTACAGTTTATAGAATGAATAGAATCATCATTATATATCCCATGGCATTGGTAAAAAACAAGATGGTTCCAAAGCACCACATATAAAACATTAAAGGCGTGCAGACATAGTATTCTGGAAAAGTAATTCATTATTTATTGTAAACTCCGTACAGTGTCTTGTGTGACTGCAGTTACCCTGTATGTACAAGGAAGTAATCTGCTATATACCTTACACGTACGTTTTCATAGTTGCAGAAGCATTAAGGAATTTCTATGCAGGGTTTTATCTCTACAGAACCAGTCCAACCCAAGTGCTGATTAACTTAATGAAAAGCTTAAGAGATATTTCTTCCCTTTATGTGTAAATTCACTGCTGTTGGTATTAGCTTTTCTAAGATGTTGCTTCAGACTGTTTCAATATCAAAGTTATTTTTCTTTAAGACTTCATCAAAACAAAATCCTACTAATGAAACTGCACAAATTTTCATATTACGATCCAGTAATTGTTGTATTCCTGTGTGTGGGGAAAAAAAAATACTTACTTTTTATCTGTATTTGTTAGGGGATCTGTACTGGACATCTTCTTAGGTGCACTATTTTAATAAAAGTTCAAAATGAAGAATTCTGACACATGAAGCACTGCTTCATCAAAACAAAATCCTACTAATGAAACTGCACAAATTTTCATATTACGATCCAGTAATTGTTGTATTCCTGTGTGTGGGGAAAAAAAAATACTTACTTTTTATCTGTATTTGTTAGGGGATCTGTACTGGACATCTTCTTAGGTGCACTATTTTAATAAAAGTTCAAAATGAAGAATTCTGACACATGAAGCACTGGCTCGTAACCAAGATAATAATTGCTGTAAAAAAGGAGAAACCACTGTTTGAAATTTACATGGCTACGTTTATTTTCAGACACTGACAACAATTCTTATTTATCACTGACTAGCTGAAATCAAGTGGGAAAAGAGAACTTTCATGACAAAACAGATACACTTCATTGCTGAAAAGGAAAACAGTAAGCAGTTAACAACTCAGACTTTGCTGTATAATGTACCAAAACATCTGATAGTCTAATTTCCTCTTAATTTACGAGGTAGGAATTAGGGCAAACTGGAACCCCCTGTGATTAAAGTCTTCTAAGAAATGAAGTAACCGAGATAATTCCAGGATAAAATAACATAACTTCTAAAGACAAAAACAATCTCATTTTTTTCCAGCAAAGATTACTTGGGGAGGGAATGTTGTTTTGAACATAAGGTGTTTTGTGTGTCTAGTTTGCTCACATTTTTTTAACTTACTGGCTAGAATTCAGTGCCTATGGAATTCTCACATGAAGTATGTAAGATGTAGGCCAAAATGCATGCAAAACCGGGTTACGTACCACCAGCAAAAAAATGGTAATTCACATTGTATTTTTATTAGCGCATATGACAGGTTGACAAGAAATACAATCCTAAATGTACTGAGCTACAATCATTTGAAAAATTACTGCAAAAGCCCTAACGCAAAAATACCCGTTTGTATCAGTAGCAAATCTTCTTCACGAGCTGTATGGCTAAACCCTCACATGGCCACGAACCAGAAAAGGTATTTCTCCTAAGACATGGTACAAGGGGGACAAGGAACTCTCCGAACAACGCACAGGCAAAAGATGGCAACAGATGCCAGCGGCACCAGTGACATGCTACAAACCTGGGCTAAAATAAGGCGAGCTAAAACAAAGGAGGCTCCCTAGGAGCCTCCTACAGCGTCAGCCTCCACAAAACCACACTGACCAATTCATCAGGTTATATATTTCTGCATGAAAAAAAAATGTTAAATTCACTTTGGAACGCCACAAATTTTCCTGCAGCAAATGTCTTCAGATCTCTCGCTAAAGGATCAAAAATAATGCCATCTAAATACAGAGGAAAGGCCACAATATTGCTTCACTCGGGGCTTTATCATTCCCTTATTCAATGCAACTAAATGCAAAAATGAAGCAGTATCAGGAGCTGCCACAGTCACTGCGTGACTCGCGTTACTGGAACCAGCACAAGAGCAGAGCAGTGCTCTAAAGCAGTAAACCCAAGCACTGCTACAGGAAAGTTTGTTACAGTGCATGGGAAGAAAGACTGTGAGTTTGTCTGACCTCGCCTGTCCCGAAGTTACTGCTGTTTTACAGTTGACACACAGCGCTCAATCACTTCGCGACATGTCAATATTTGTGCCTAAACGAAAACAAATCCGTACGCAAAGAGAGGAAACTAAACATGAACCAAAGCACCGCTGGCAAAAACAATCGGTGTCAGCGTCCACAAAACAGGGAGACCTGCAGGAAGACAGAGGGACGAAGTCTCCTCTCTCTGTGGAAGCACCCCCGCACCAGCCCGCGTACGGCTCTGCCCTCACGCCGCGGGGCCCGCCGCCTGCCCGCGGACGCCCAGCGCTGGAAGATGAGGAACGCGGGCACAAAGGCGACTTCACAAGCGCCTGGCCGTGCGCTCGCAGCCCCAGAGGAACCAGCCGGAAAGGTCCTGGTGCCCACCACCCTGTCCCGCCGCCCGTCAGCGCGCTCCTCCTCCGCATTAACCCCGCTGAGGTACCCGGAGAGGACCGTCGCTCCCTCTCGCCCTGCTGCCCGAGGTTAACCCACTTCTGGCAGACTTTTCGGTGGCCCCGCTGCCGTCCAGCACCAGCCCGCCCCGGCTCCGCTCGGACAAAGCCGGCTGGATGCAC